ATAGCTTAATAGATTCACACATCTCACACACGGCTGTCTGATCCCAAACTAGGCAGAGCCTGTACTATGGTAACCAGACCGCTGATAAACATACATATACATTTCTAAATACATACATATTATAGATAAATTACACCCAGACACAGAACAAGCGATTGTGCTCATCACACAATTATTTGTCCTGGGTGGGAATCGAACCCACGACCTCTGGCGTAGCAGTCAGGATCACTAATCACTAGACCAATAGGCCAGTCATATAGGAAGGAAGGGAAGGAAGTAATATAGGTAGGATACCGGTTGTAGTACCTAACTCAAAGAGGCCCAATGGTCATGTACCAATATGTCCATCCTATATATATCATCAACCTAAATAGCCTCTCATTGGGACAGGGATATCCATTGGCCATGAATTCAAGACAGGAAAGATACTATATAATTATTGTGAATGATATTTTCTTTATACAATAAAACTAGAAATGTCTTTTATATTGAAAACAAAGGATTGCCCCGTTGCAAAATAATACCAAATGTTCATCATACGCTTCTCGCTAGTAATAGGTCAAATTCCTTATACCAGTCATGTAACAGAAATTCAAGATACGAAATTATTTATTCGGTGCACATTAGCGCGACTGTAAAAGGCCTTCAACCGGATTACAAAAAAGCCTCATGTATACAAGATTATTATAATCCACCTCAGTCTCACGTTAGATATTTCTTTTTCTTTTATTGGAGCATGATTGACATAATATGTATTAAGTTGATTAATTCAAAGCTTGATACAATTTACTAGCTTTTGCTTCTTGCCTTCACGAAACTTAATTTTATATTCTTTGGAAATAGTACATTTTCAGCATTAAAGGACAGAAAAGTAAAATTCATGTTACCATAAGGTAATAAAAAGTAAACAAAGCCACATTAGCATTTTTATTATATAAGTTTGGGAAAATAAACAGGCGCTCCTAATTCCGGTACCCTGTAATCCCGGTCACTATTTATTGCATGTTAACGATTACACTGGCTGCCAAAGTAATCCTTTGATTACCTTGTCCCTAACATGAGACGAGTGTGATCTTGCTTACAATATACTTGCTTAAATATTTGTGTTATTATAACTGTGAAAGTAAAAGCAAAAAGTATTCAATTTAAAGGCTTATGAAATTTTATTTTTATAATATACAAGCCGTATCCTGTCATGCTTCCCTGTGGCACATTACGGTTGCATTGATAGAAAATAAGGAAAAAAAAACGGATGCAAAAAAATACATAAACTTTTTGAGTTCTTACAACGTATACAAACCAACCCAACATTTTAATATAAACAAGATTTTATATAATCAAAAAACACTGTTTAGGTGGCGAAAGAGTAATGGCTATGGCGTTGGACTCCCGATGGAGTGTTTATGGTTTCGAATCAATAAGTTCGAGCCTATCATATGGTTGCCTATAGACTTGAACACACTTAAAACACAGGTATTTAGCTTTGCTGTGTTGATTGTCAAAAACACTAGTAATGCGTGACCAACAATACCATTACGATTTAAAAAATAAATTGCTTTATGTCTCTCTAGTCTATGTGTCCCTGTGACTGCTTTTACTATAATTATTTTAATGACAAAACAGTTTAGCAAGTCATTACAATACTATATACCACGTATATGTAACACTAAATAATAAAAACAAAACGTTTATAAATTGTTGTCATTCAAACATTCAATGAAATGTCATACTTTTGGTACATTGCTGGTCCTGATCAATTGGTCTTTAAAGCTAAAAACCATGGATTTACTATATATACATATATATAAATCTACCTCTTAACATCCTCCTTTTTAAAGTCGGTTAAAAACCAAATTCTATGGTCTAGTGGCGCTACATTTTCAATAGTAATTAACTAAGAAAACAAAAAGAAGAAGAAATCAATTATCAGATTTTGAATCCAAGAATATTTTTGGTTTAATATTATTGCAATTCACTTAATTCGTTTGTTGGAGTGGAAACAGGTGAAAATCTAGTTTTTTTTTACATTACACAAGTCTGTCTAATCCCAAACTAGGCAGAGCCTGTACTGTGGTAACCAGACTGCTGATAAACATACATATATATTTCTAAATACATACATATTATAGACAAAGTACACTCAGACACAGAACAAATGATCGTGCTCATCACACAATTATTTTTCCTGGGTGGGAATCGAACCCACGACCTCTGGCATAGCAGTCAGGGTCACTAATTACTAGACCAACAGGTCAGTCGAACTATTAATTGTACTATTAGAAGCTCAAACAAATAAAGCTTTGTAAAATTTTAGCTCAGTAAAAACCTGTGGCAAAAGCGAAGCCTAAGTGAGGTACATTTCAAATTAAAATTAACCAACCATCCTGCTTTTATCACTAAACCCCCTGCTGAAACTCTCATAGCAATCGATATATCAGCTAACGAGCATACATAGCTCACTTTGAAAATGGGCAGAATAAAGAAAAGGCATAAATAAAACGAGCGGACAGATTTATTATTACTGTTTGTTTGGTATACCCGAAGGTGGTGCTCGCGCCATTGCGGGTAGGCGCTAGGGGGGTTCGGATGTCTTAATAACAGCAGTTACCGGATCTCTCCTATTAGAGGCGCAGAGTGGCACACCGTATCGTTTTAGTCGGTCCGTTTTCGACATAACCCCGTCGCAAGCCCCGGTGGGGTGATGGCCCAAGGGGGTTTTCATCCGTAAATAAAAAGGGGCCTTACGGCCAAACGGAACTTGGTGTTAAGTGGTTATCGTTGGCCATGGATACTTGCGACTCAAGAGTCAGCCATACTTCGACAGGTATGGCCAGCTCGACCTCATAGAAAACCGGTGTTAAGTAGTAGTAGTAGTAACCGGAGTAAAGTTCAACATCCTCCTCCTAATTCTCTTACGCGAAAACAAACTTGAAACTACACACACATACACACCCATGCATGTTGGTTAAATTTTATTTATTGTCATCACATCACAACTGCCTTTAGTAATCCACTGCTATACATAGGCCTCTCCTTAGAAAGAAGGGTTTTTCCTACTATACCACGCTGACCAGACGGGTTTCATATGTAATAAATAGGGGTAGTGACACTCTGTATTCTTAATCCGTCACCACACGGATAGTGGCAGCATGTATATTTTATTTTGTTTTTATCTTTTAATGAATCTTACAAACACTGCGTTTGTGTAACCTATGCTAGATGTTTCTCTTTACACATGGTATAATCCTAACTTTATTACAATGTAAGGAAGGCGTTGAAAGTTGATACTAGATAGATAGATAGGTACTCTTTATTGCACACCATGATTAGGATACATGCGATGATACATACAAAAAAAAAAACAATGGGTGGCCTTATCGCAGCCTGCGATCTCTTCCAGGCAACCTTTAGATGGACGATACTGTAAAGTAATACGTAGCATGTGGTGAGTATTCACAACTTCCGTATATTAACTAATGTTTACATACATAATACATAACTAGTACGGTTGACAACGATTACCATATCAACTTAAATAAAAATAATATGTTTTTATTAATACTTTGGTGAAATGTAAGTAGTATAATGTAGGATGTTTCTTGTCTAATATATTTTTTATTATTATTATTATGATAAAAGTAGTAGTCACTTACCATCAGGTCACCTGTCTGCTCGTTTGCGCCTTATGCTACTCGTATAACAAAAAACAAACATTTAACTTTTAAACTTTCGCGTTCCATGATAATTAATATTATTTAACGGGAATTAACGCGATCTCTTATTTAGGGTATTACATACCTCTGGTTTGCCTGACGTTTCGACCAGGTTGCACCGGCCGTGGTCACAGGCTGACTCCAGCCTGTGACCACGGCCGGTGCAACCTGGTCGAAACGTAATACCCTAAATAAGAGATCGCGTTAATTCCCGTTAAATAATATTAATTAACATACATTTAATTTAATAAAATGACTACATATTTTATAATCATCTCTTAACACCTTCCTACTTGATGCCCTATTCAAAAGGTTTGAGAGAAAAAAGAGACGAATCTAAGGACCTATTTATTATCCCCAAAAGCGGTTCAAAATTTAGCAGTTACCACGAAACATCGAGGTCATGTGCATCACATACAGGTGAAAATTATAACCCTCCTTTGAATCTCAACAAGTCGGGTAAAAACGATGGAAGGAGATTTCTATAAATATATGACTAAAACAGTATTCTCATTTTGCTCCTCACAAAACATTTTACCCTATTTCACCATTTTTATTAAGGATTAATAAAACAATTAGCAAAATGTTTTATAACAGATTCCTTTAACAAATTACATTTGTTTTACAACAATAGTCCGTGTTATTGCCGCGTGCTTAAGTTTCAAATTAGTTGAAATAAAATGACATACATTAGGAGTTTTATCGTCTACGGTGGCACTAATATCTTTAATTTAGAAGATACGGCCTTTGTAGTGATGTGACAAGTGCAGTGAATCGAGGCTCATTTTAAAAATAGTATTTCGGTATTTACTTTAAAAAAAGGCTTTAAGATTTCAGCTGGTGCATGCTATAAAGATATTACAAATAAAGAGGTAAAAAAACGTAAATAAGAACCATTTTTAATTAAAAAGTACAAATGGAATGCCTACACGATATCTTAAAATAAAATAAAAACTGTAAATAGGTTTAAATATGTTGTATGTCATAGAGTTTTATTGAATTTACTAGAGCGACAGATAACCTCGCCATAACATCTTAAGGCAGTCTTATTGAGCCCGGAAACTGTTTAGCACTGTCTGGCCATCCGGTGGGACAGATTTAGTTCTCTCTCTCGTTTTCTTTTCTCCTCTGCTTCTGTATACAACACTTCTTCACAAAACTAAGCAGCAGAATGCATCATGAAGTTTAAGTAGAGTCTCCAGCGAGAGACTACCCACAGCGATACCCGTTAAAAAAGATGTCGTGTGTGAGCCCCCCAATACTTTAAACAGCACAGCAACCTCTGCGATGACTTTGGTCATGGCTGATGGTGATGATCAGATCATCAGAGATGATGGATGGTGGTTACCGCCCACGCTACATAATGACTTCCTAAATCAACTGTGTCCAGTGAAAGACAGCCATGCCACCTCTCTAATCAATGTTCATGACAATCTCATAGCCACAGAGTGTTGGCATATCCTAATTATGGTAGCCATAAAACATGACTAGACTTTTCCGCTCTTAAGATCACGGAGACTCTTGAATTTTTTTTTTATGTTTTTTTTAAGATGTCTTTGTTATTGATAGTTCACAGATGTATAGACTTAATAAAAAAACCCGGCGCTTGTAAAAGGCCTTGCCTACATATTTAATGCAATTTTTCCAAAGTGCCAAAACAAGTGACCCTCTTATATAATTATGTTTACGGGTATTAACATGCTCATCATAAGTATTAAACGGATACCTTTATTATACCTTTGAAATGCCTGACGTTTTGACCAAGTTGAAAACTCACTAATTTTGTAGCAAGTGCACTATCGTTCTCACATCGTCAATGGGATTTCTTTTCGTATGGAAAAGGGAGCAAACGAGCAGACGGGACGGAAAAGCGACTACCGCCGTCCGCTTGCAACTCAGGAGTACGCTTTTTTTTTAAGGTTTGGCGTGTAGAACGACGGCGGAAAATACCGCTAAATGTAATTTTTTGTAAGTAGAACTAATTTATAGTCGCACGAAAAAGTCACTGGCTTCCTCCTTGGACTTAGTCAACGGTAGAAAATAGCTACTCTTTTTTACTACCACTTAATCTGCCTCTGACTCTGACTGCACGGATGGCGTAGTGGTTTAAGCGGTCGCCGCTTCCTACTGCGCCGAGTGTGTGTTCAAACCCCACATGGGACGACACTTTTTGTGATCCACAAATTGTTGTTCTGAGTCTGGATGTTCTTTGTGTCCGTTCCATGTATGTTTGTAAAGTCCCCGCGACACAGGATATATTCCTAATGCGGGAGTGGTCTTGCAAAAAAAAGAATCGATATCGATAGCCACTACCAATTAAATAATATAAAAATTAAATTTATTTTAATCTTTTCTTTCGTAACTCCCCTACTGGGCACATCCCTATTCTCCACAAGCAATTGACGGTCATAAATGCCTACGGCTGCGTGCTGGCATTCGCAGTGACACGTTACCATCTCTTAAAGCCGAATGATGAAGAAGCACGCATTGCAGTGTCGTGATCGTGAGTAATCGTCTCCATATCCTTTACTAAATAACTCCTTAATTCTGTGCCTCTTTGAAGTTGCTGAAGGCATTACCTAGCATGCCAGAATATTTATATAAAGGTGATCCAGTTAAAAAGTATAAAGAGATTTCTTGGTTATGTTCAGTTACATGCAACTATTTATGCCTCAGTAGGAATCATTTATCACCAAGTAGGTTAAATTATTATCTGACTGTACTGATTACTGGTGTGGGTTCAATCCCCACATGATATAACACTTTGTGTGATGCACATATTGTTTTTCTGAGTCTGGGTGTTCTATGTGTCGGTTTCATGAATATTTGTAAAATTCTCCCGGATCACAGGATATATTCCTAGGGCGGAAATGGTCTTTTTAAAAAAACGATTTATAAAGAGTAGTCTAGGCACTATCCCTAAACTCTCTGAAATGAAACAGCATTTACAGCTTGACAGCATTTAATTAATTTAATAATAACCTTCTCTTTACTTGACGTAATTATAATTGTAATTATATTTTCTGTTTATTCAACTTTTCTTGGAATTTAAGAAGAGATTTTTTTTAATGCTAATAAGGCTCCGTGACTTTTAGAAAAGTACAAACGATTTTCGAGTACGTACCCTAACATCTTACCTCCGCAAATTAAAGTCTTTGTACTGCTGAGAGACTCTTGTGATAAAGTAGCTTTAAATAGTTCACCGAAATCGATTTATCCAGAGGGCTTTGATACTAAAAACCCATTGGACCTTGGGTATCGTAAACGAAATTCCTATTGACCCTCGGCGATTTATGATCGCGGCGAAATTGCCATCGATAGAAATCTAATAACGTTTACAGTTATACAATTTAAAAGGTATTTTTTTAATTGGTATTAAGTCAATTGATTGAAAAAATATGTTATTGTGGTACAGTGAGTAACAAAAATACATTGACGAGTCGAAATTTACTTTTACTGTCATGAAAATAGGTCAATTCAACAACAGCCTTTAACAGTCCACTGCTGGACAAAGGCTACTCCTTAAGATGGAGGTTTAAATAAATAAATAAAATAGGTCATTTATACTCGATATATGTAGTCCTGTACAAAAATATTACCTGGTTGGACCACACATTTTGTTTAAATCGGGAGCATTGTTTTCCCTGAAGCTTGAAGCTTTGATAAGCTTCTTGCAGCTTCTTCTTTTTCTAACCCAAAGCTACAGACATTCCCGAACTACAAACTGAATAAAACTGTCTATTTAATGAAAACCAATTCTTGACTGCTTAAGAATATCCTTGTTAGTCGAGTAACAGTATTATGCCGGTGTAAGTAATTCAATCCGTCAAATGTCCACACTCATAAATGTCATCCTGGAATCGTTAATTAATGTGTGGAAAACATTGTAGGAGACAATCCCATTACGACAACCCTCCCGAGTTGATTAAAAACCCATTACAGTCAAACCATTCTTTAGATGCCACGAAACCCCTCCCAACTCCTCAAGTCTAGTACACAGAAATGTTAATAAGGATACATATGATACGCTTCACGCTTGACTGAACCATGTAATTACTTTATAGACACAAATAGAATTGAATCTGAACATCCTTGCGCACTATCTGGCAAAGAATTAATGAAATAAATAGTATTAAAAAATAAAAGGTAACTATTAATAAATTCGTATTTTAATGATAAAATTGGTGTCAGTCAACTAACCTAAGATATGTTAAACAAAAATTGAATATATCTTACGCATATGACGACATGAAGCATATGGCACCCAGTCATTCCTCCATCTAATTTAAACACTTTTGTAGAACAATACCATAACTGTTTGTATTACTCCAAAGAAATTTAAATTAACTAATATTTTATTTCACGTTCTTTGAATGCGTATGTGTTGATCTTTGTATGCGTTGATCTCTGGAATGACGCCCTAATTCTTGAGACTGTTTAAAGAGTTTTTGATATCCGAGACAACCATTGGGAGTTGATCAATAAAGGCCCATAAAAGCAGGTAAAACAGATTTTCAGTATCTATACAAATCAATGCTCATTTGTTTATAATCTATGCAGTACAGTACCGATCACTTGATAATTGGGACAAATTGCTAGGTCCTTCGCTGTATCTCAGGCTCCTTTATCCAAAAGAAAACAGATTCGTGATTAAAGCCTTTGATAAGAAAGAGTATTGAATAAAAATCTAATTAAAATATCCCGAATCAAATTCTAAAAAAAAAACTAGCTTGTGGCATGGTAATAGTTCCGTGCTACAAGCCGGATTCATTTTTAAATAGTTTGCTCTAAACCTTTGATGGTGGAAGATAAAAAATAACAATGGAATTAATTCAACTTGTAGGTGCTTGGTCATGCATTCTATCTTATCTTCGACTGTACTTAAACATAAAAAACGGTGAATGCTTTCTTATTCGTCAAGTACAGACAGTTTGTAGAGTCCGTTTGTGAATTTGTGTATAAATAACCAGGAACCGTGTGGTGACGGATTAAGAATACGGAATGTCAGCACCCCTATTCATTCCGTGGGTGTCGTAAGAACTGAGTAAGGGAGTAAACTACGCAGGACAACGGCACTGCAAAGAGAAGGAAAACTTGAACCCGTCTTTTCAGCGTGGTATAGTAGGCCAAAATCTCCTTTCTAAGGAGAGGCCTATTTCCAGCAGTGGACTGTTATAGGCTGTTGATGATGATAACCAGGAATTTATTTACTAATATTAAATTGCACTAATTCAGGTAAGTAAACAACACTTAAACATGTGTAATCGTATGCATAGTAATTTTTTTATGGACCTGTAGATTGTGATGGCTACTATGGTTTAAACTTTTCGTGATTGGGATCACACATTAAAACTATGAGCAAATTTTTCTACACCTTAGTGTAATGTGTGTAATATTCGCAGCATAGATTCTGACCAATTATAATTGATCTAAAATATTCTTATTAGTGTGACTACCTTTATGTTAGCCACTCAAAATATATATGTAATAAAAGTTACAACGAAAATATTAAAATCCTTGAAGTCAACGATGAACAATAAAATGGGGTCAGTTGCCAACATTAGGTAAGAAACTCGATTCAGAAACGAACATTCTACTTGCTTTGATCATGTAACATGAAAGGCTTTCGTTCACAGATGCACACATACCACTGTAACTAAACTCGGTTCCAAAAGTAACGGGTCAGTCACATAAACCCGAATATCTCCCGAACTTCGTATGTCATCCTAATGAAACGAAGACTGTTCAATTGAGAATTTAATTATACAGTTACAAAATAAAATAAAACTTAAATCTAAACTCTTAACTTATCTCTAAATTAAAAAAAAAAACTAAAGTAGTCATATTTTTCTTAAAAGTTAGGATTCTGGTACATTCCTCTAGCGTGACTGCCATGCTTCACTTCACAGAATAATAATTATGCACGTGGAAGACGTTCACGATATTTTTTTTTGTGACAGAATAGAAATGGAAAGCATCCATAATAAACAAAAATTTTGTCTTTAAAAATTGACATTTTTTTAAATTTTGTTTTTCTAATGAAGTTTTTTTCATCAACCAGTTTAAATAATATGCTATTAGAAGGGCAAATAAAATGTCTTTATTCTGTTTTTTATTTCATTGATCTAACTTTTACAGTTCTGGAGATATTCGTGTTTATGTGACTGACCCGTTATTTTTGGAACCGACTGTACATCCAACGTAGATTAATACTATTCATTAACATGTACATTTATTCTACCCGTACTCGTACACTTATTCTACCCTCAAGAACGAGAAATAGTGTACAAACAAATTACACATTGCGAAATGAGCTACGCAATCGGTATTATAAGCTAACGTACACATTTAATTAGTTTAGTTATATTTAATAATTCAACCTTACACGTTGCCTCAATATCAAGTACTCATAGCAACAAGCATTTTATCACTAAATGCAGAGAAACATCTCTATATCATATCTCTGTATCAGTAATACTATAGGACATTTT